AGAGGTTAGATATAATGTCTCCTATCTCTGACTTGTAGACGGCATAGACGAGCTTTGCTATGCTTTAATTTTATGTCATGCAATCTTGATAGTGTCAGAGATTCATCATTATCCACTAGTCCATCCGGTACAGCGTTGATGATATCTGCTCTGTCCATGCTTCTTCTCACATGCGTTGGTGCATTGCTTGCCAGTTAGTCAGCTCGCTTTTAACCTTTTACACCATCATGATCAGGTGTATAGATTCAGGTGAAGGAGGTTAAGTGCGATTTTTGAATGCTTTCTACCAATTGAGAGCGCATACCGCCTGTTGCTATCTTCTGAAGCATGTTCATGAATTCTAGTACAATTATCGCCGGTGTTTTATATATTATGAACAACAGTAAAAGTCTTCCCAAAATATAAACTATTCTTGAGATGTGCAGTGTTAAGTTATCACATATTCTCTGTCCTGGCATAACTATATGGTAGTGTATTGGTGATGAGACAGTCTTCCATGCGAGAGACATGTCTTAACCAATGGCGGGCATCTTTTACTTCAGTGTTAAGTACAGTGTAAGCATCCATGCTTTTTCGAGTGAAGGAGTGACTGAGGTTCAACCCACACTAGGACTGCACAACGAGGGATAAACACCCGGCGTCACAAAGTGCCACCATTCGGATGAGAATCACTCGGGTACAAGTTGCCAGAAAACCTGTTCAGCCGTTAGGTTATTTTAGGGCCTCCAAAAACATTCGGGGTGTGAGTTTTAAATAACAAACTGTGTCCCATATTGGGGCCGGAATAATCTTTCGAGTACATATTCATTGGAGACAAAGTAGGGGCTGCGTGGTTTCGAGGCATGGTGTCTGAGTGCTGGAGGTTCTGGGTTCAATCCCCGGTAAGGGCTGGGATTTTTTCACGTGGACTTAGTCTTCTAGTAATTCACCCCCCCCCCCTTTCCCCACCCCCGGTCTCTAGATAGTGAGATTAGACGCCCGTGTTCATTGCTGTGTACGTTGGGAATCGAAAAGAATAGACTAACTGCGCTGCCTGTGCTAAATTTTGAGTTCTACCCAAAGTATTTCAGGATCCTTGCCGGTGCAACAGAGCCTGTGCACTGTGCTGAGCTTCTTCGGACTCAGACTTGAGTTAGAAGTAGAACGGAGCACTAATGGGTTACTACCCGTGTGCCATGATGTTGAAAGTAAAAGTAAAGGACCCTTTTCCACGCCTTTATGCGTATAGGGCATATAGGACTAGACCTATATTTTTATAGACCAATCGGCACAAGATGGGTGATGTGGTCAGCATCACGCCGGCCGCCTTTTCTTCCCGGGACTGCACCCGGTACCCACTCAAGGCTGGGTTGACCTGGGAGCCAAGGTCATTTTTGAAAATAGTCCGGCTCTGCCAGGGAGCAAACCCACGACCTTCCGATCCGCGGCGAGCGTCTAGCCGCTCGGCCACAGCGACTCCCCATGAAGTTGATCCGTTGTTCAAAAAACTTCAAACCTGGAGACAGTTTTGCATTTATATACAGGAATGCGTCTTACATAGCACATGTGGAAAGTATTCAGTCTTTTTGAGGAGCATATATTGTCCAGGTTTCACTGCCTTAATGAAACATGCTCAGGACGAAGGCTTCATAGACTTTATTTTTTGGTTCTATCCGTAAGCTTTAAGTTTCACCACACTCTTTATGTGAGCTTGGAAAGTATTGCAGAAACCTTTCCTGTTCGTCTATTTACTGCAGTTACACTATGGGTCCATCTAGATTCAGAGTGTGGAGTGGTGATTAAACTGTTCTAGTGGTAGAATATTGATCCGGCAATTCCTGTCAAAGGTTTGTCCTGTTGTAAGAATAGAATATTGATCTGTGAAACCCCTAGTGGTTAAATTACGTGATAACATGAATTATTCCATGTTTTGTGTTTGCTAGTGTCAGCACGTGAATTCCACCGCATACTACTGCTCGCATGTCCCATGTTTGGGTTTCATAGTTTATTTGTTATGCTTTTATTTGTATTTCAGAGCGATTACTCTACGGGATGTTCTCCATCGCAAATCGCAATGCGTGTTCTAGATAGTTCTGCTAGCTTTTAGCTATTGTGTTGGTCTTAGTTATGTCTACATTATTTCGGTTCGTCTGACAACGGTAAACCTTTCCTTCGTATGCTCAGTACTTCAGCGGACACGGAATAAATTCTAATTGTATTTCTTTGTTGTGTTTCCAGGTTAGTAGTATTAGTTGTAATAAGTTTATGTCCTCATATATTTATTAAATCAACATCAGGATAGGTGAGGCAGCAACAACAGTGAGCAGATTGACAAAAAGAGTTTGTTAGAACAGAAAGCTCACAATTAAAGCAAAAACGCTTGTCTATCAGGCTTGTGTTTTCAGCAATCTGCTTTATAGGAGTGAAACTTAGTCAACCTTGTTCACCAGTAGAGACGGCTTAATAGCATTCACATGCGATGCCTAAGAAGAATACTTGGCATTAAGTGGCAGGACAAAATCACAAACACTGAGGTACTGGAAAGAGCACGTACTACAACAGTCTTTTCCGTGCTCAGTCTACAAAGGCTCAGGTGGCTGGGTCACACCCGGAGAATGGAGGTTGGCAGAGTCCCTAATGACATCCTTTTGGTGAATTAAAGACAGGAAGAAGATGTCGAGGCCGATCTTCACTACGGTATAAAGATGTGTGCAAGCGGGACATGAATGATACATGTATTGAGTTGGACTCATAGGAACAAAATGCCAGGGGCCGTGTTGTGGGAAAAGGGCATATCAGGAAGGGAATGAGACTGAATGAAAAAAAGATTGCAGAAATGATTATAGCTGATCGTCTGAAAAGAAACGGATTAAACACAAATTTTGACAACAATGGTCCTGAAATTGTGGAAGACTTTTCTTGACACGGGCGGGTCTTGCTAGTCACACTGGCCATCGCCATAGACTGAGTCCCATGCCTCCGCACAATAAAACACTATCGTCTGGAAAGACGGAAAAGTGCCTATCAATATTTATGCGGCTCAGGTACAGTATCTTGAATGTCGTCAGTCAAAACTCAGTGAATCTTCTTCTTCTTCTTAGCGTTCACCAGCTGTGAAATCTTGCAGAAAGTGTTGGCTGTTTCTCCACTTCTGGATTTTCGCCTTGTTCCAGAACTTTTTTTTTTTTTTTTGAGTGCATATCCGCTTTACAGAAATGGCTTACTTGTATACAGACTTTTGATTTCTCGCCTCTGAATCAGATGCACTTTACAGAGGAAAAATCCTTAATTAGTCGCCCTCTACGACATGCTTATTAGGTAGGCAATGGGTCTATCCCCCTCCCCCATGTGGCCCCGCAAAGACACTGGGGAACTCAGTGAATCAATTATACATTATGTATAATCAGTCAAACAATCCATTGTGTACTTCTAGAGAGGAAATCTCAGTTCAGTGTCCATTTGCTAGAAGAACATCTAGCCTCTCTACAAGCCTTATGAGTTATGAGTTATATTGGTTATTCTCAAAGGAATCTCTGAACGCTGAGAACCCCCCCCCCCCCCCCCCTTTTTTTTCCCCCTTTTTTTATTATCTCCTTGCTATTTCTACGATGGTTGACTTCTCATTCATCTGATGTGCTCTCGTTCCTAGTCGTGCCGAATGTTACTATCAAATGTGTCATACTTATTCAAAATATGGTTGCACTGCACTTATTGTCGTCCATTCATCATTTCAAGGAAATTGAAGGACCCCGTTCCCCGCCTTCGTGCGTTTTGGACACATAGGGCTAGACTTATATTGGATAGACCAATCGGCACTCAATGGGTGATGTGGTGAACATTACACCCGCCGTCTTTACTTCCCATGACGTTACCTGGTACCCATTCGAGGCTGCGTCGATTTTTGTTGAAAACGTTCGGTACCGCCAGGAACTGAACCCACAACCTTCAGATCCGCAGGCAAGTGTCTAGTCATTACACCACGATGGCTCCTTTTCGCTGTAATGTTGATGAGTTTAGTTGAGCTGAGTCCAGAATTGACATCACAGCACTCGGGGCATTCCCATGCAGGCTCCGTCCTCATTTTCAGCAGCCAGCGCAGAGTTCCAGTACTGATGGTACCGGTCACAATCTGGTTAAAACTCCGTCGTGCCTTTCCTCTGAGTGTAGTGAGCCGACCAGACCCCCTGGTTACACCCAGGTGCCTCATTCTGTCCCGGCCATAATATGTAATGTTGATTAGTAATGTCAGCACAATATATTAGCTGACCACCTGCAACGATGCAAGACCCGGCTATTAAATAAGCTCTGTTATACTGCAGTCAACATCCAGTTGCACATATTCTAGGACTGACCAAATCTTGTAAAACATGTGCACATAAAATTCGTCTAGGAACAAAATGATGTTAGGAAAGATATCTTATACAAAATGCATGGACACGTAGCACGATATCATCCCATTCCCACATAGAACTGCAGATTTGCTGTAACCATAAGGGTGCTCCTGTTTTATTCAGTTGCTTGATATGTTCGTCCTACTGACAACAGTTATGGCGGGAAACACGACCATCACTTCCTATATGTCTAGGTGAAAAGGGGAGTCGCCGTGGTGTAGGAGCTAGACGCTTGCGTGCAGATCGGAAGGTCTCGGGTTCGCTTCCTGGCAGAGCCGGAACTTTTTTTTAAAATGACCTTGACTCCCAGGTCGACCCAGCCTTGTGTGGGTACCGGGTGCAGTCCTGGAAAGTAAAGGTGGTCGGCATGATGCTAATCACAATACCCATCTTGTGCCGATTGGTCTATACAAAATATAGGCTTAGGCCTGTATGACCTATACGCTGAAAGGCGTGGAAAATGGTCCTTTACTTTATCAGGGGAAAATGCATTCTTTACCAAACAGCTCTCATTTGACATCATTGTAATTTTATATTTGCTTATTAAATATTTATTTTTTCCTTTATCCTTTACACAGAATCTTCCAAAACCAGAAACAATAGAAAATTGATTTCTGAAACATAATTTAGATGAAAATTAACCACGGGGACACAGTTTCGGCACTGAAGTTTCAGTGGACATGTGTATCTAGTACTTACAGTAGTCAGGATGGACGAAACAACAGCAAAGATGACAGTAGTGATAGACGTCATGACACCTTTCCACGCAACAGATTCCACCACGCCGCCTGCTGCCTGGGCAAATATGTCTACATATTTGGCGGCAAAGACAGATACTCACCTCTCAGAGACATGTGGAGGTTTGATATGGGTGAGTGCACCATTCTTATGTCACAGTTCTGTTGACTTGGGAGTGTTGTCAATATAATTATACATCTTTTTTTTTTTTTTCAATATAGTTGTGTCTTCTTCTTCTTCTTCACTTCCTCTTTTACCGCTGTGGGTGTCGAGGGAGATATAAGGTTCTGTTTCTAGCTCTTCTGGCTGCCTCGACCATAGGCACGTCGTGCTGTTGTAGAGTTTCTCTGATGTTATCCTTCCATCTTGTTCTTGGTCTACCCCGTGCTCTACGTCCTTCTTCTCTTTCCATATATGCTTTGTATGGTATATAGCTGTGTAATCTTTTAAATCTACTCCATTATTCCCTTTTTTTTTCTTGCTACTTACCTCTTTCGCTTCATTATTTCTCTCTTAACCCACTTCCTAACTTCTTCCTTCCTTCATTCTCTAGTTTCTTTCCTATTTCTTTCCTTGATCCTTCTGTCCGTCCTTTTTTCATTCGGTCCCCCTTCCCCCCCCCCCCCCACCACCTTTTTCCGCTTTTAATCTGCTTTCTTTACTTAAAAAAGTATAAACATAAGATCAAGATAGCTCCTATATTTTGCATAACTGCACATTCAGGATCAATAAAAACCTGATTATTAAGGGTTATGATTTTCCGCTGCATACACTGTCAAGATGGCAGTTAATTTCTGGAACCTAGTATCCTGGAGCCTAATGCTTAGTAGCGGGCCTTTTGGGGGAAAAGGTGGGGGGGGGGGGGGTTAACTGTAGACATACATTGTATTATCAAATTATGTGCAATCGCCATAGAGGCATACAACTAAGTTCCCTTCCACCAACTAATGTATCAGTCAATTCAACACACCACCATGCCCCCCCCCCCCTTTTTCCACATCTCATTCGATGGATATCTGCCGAACTTTTCCAGAGGAAGGTCGTGCTTCGATATGAGCCGATAACAACACATCCTGGTTTGCCACAAGGTTCTCCGTTGTCTCCTATCCTTTTCAACATGTACAGAGTCAAGATCACAGGAGAGCAACTGAGTGGCAGAGGAAGAACTCTATCATATGCGGATGATATCCTCGTGTACGGACAAGGCAGGAACAGAGATGACATTGTTTCGGATCTACAACAGGAATTAGATCGCATATCATCCTGGTGCAACAGCTCAGGGGCAACAAATAATCCATCAAAAGTGACAGTCACCTGGTTCTCATTATATAATCACTTTTCCAAAACACCAATGCCGATAGCAAAACTTTGTGGTGTTGACATGGAGAGATCTGATTCCACGAAGGACCTGGGTATAACATTTGACAGATGCTTAGCATTTAAAAAATACTTTTTTAATGTTGTATCATTCGTTAGTTCTTTCCACCAGTGAATACGCCTTGGCCATCATGACACTCAGCACCACACAGATAAACAGACTAGAAAACAAACTGAAAACGAGGCAATGTGTATTATTCTTGTAAATCGATGCAATATCTCTTGGATCTCCCCACAGTGGAAAACAGAATCAAGCTATCTAGGGCTGTTGCTTTCCTCAAAGTGAAGTCAGACCATCCAAACCGCTTTTTTGATGAATTATTTTAGCGCGCGCGCACACACACACACACGCGCGCGCGCGCGCGCGCACGCGCACACGCACGCACACACACACACACGTAGACTCAAACGAGGCAAATCCTGGATGGGTCAGGCTGAGGATGTCATCTAACATATTTGCCGCCGTACTGACATTTTTTTTTTATTGAATGGATAATTATGCCCCCTTTTCCAAACAAAAATATTACAGTCCATAACACACCTGATAGAAGCTGTAGAGAGCATTCCTGGCATTGTTGACATTTTAGTCAAAACACTGATTGACGAAAACACAGATGAAGGTGATGCTATAGTTTACACAGACGAGTCAGTAATTCCGGGCAAGCGAAGTGCATGGGCATTTACAGTAAGCTCAAGGGGGAAACCATCAAGGAGATGAATGGCGCCTTTGCTGTTACAACTAGTAGCCTTACAATGGAAACTATGGCTGTAACAAGGGCATTAACATGGCTTAGTACTTAAAAGTTCATACACCTATGCATTCTTAGTGACTCGATGAATATGCTTTAAAAAGTCCAAGCTTAAATTATTATACAAGAATTAAGCACTTCACGAATAGCTGCCCTAACCTCCATATTTGTGCCGGGTTATGCCGGTGTTCAAGAAAACGATCGTGTAGACTATCTTGCTGATACTGTGGTTGCTATTGCTGGTCCAGTACTAGACAGAAGGGATGTTATCAATGCCATGTGCTGTATTTACTGTACCGAGGAGCACTCTAAAGGACACGACTCCATATCCCTGGCTAGGCTGATGGACATGAGGATGCTGCCTGGAGCTGGCAAGAAATGAACATTTCACTAAGGCGACAAGACGTTTAATTAACCAACATAGAACAGGCGTCATCAGTCATTTTACACTTGTGGAGCTTTTGAGGAGGAGATTGGAGCACATATGGGTCTTTCCAGAGTGCTATGATGATAATCCTTACTAATCACTAATCCATAGTCTTGGGCAAATATTCTACAATAATACCGAACTACGGGGCTATCTTTTCTAAGCAACTTGTTTCGTAACACAGGCCCGTTTGTTAGTTGACACCGTGATCATAATGAGCACAAGAAGTTGTTTAATGCCGAATTGGATATACATTTTTAGCACCCCGACACAGAGAAAACATGGGGAGGGGGGCTCAAAAATCTTAAGCTTCCAGCTTCGGGCGCTTATTGTTCTTGGAGTGAAGATGCTCTTAAGGATGTTCATTCTTAGCTGTACATTAATTCAGATCGACAATATCATTGGTCAGGCGCACTGGAACGTGGGCGCTTAGGCACTTCAAGCCCCCCCCCCCTTTCCCTCCCCCAAACCACCCAACGAAAATGATCTAGTAGACTAAGTTTTTCTCCAAATTCTCACCTCTGATCAAAATTTGCAACGAATCTAAGCTGCCACTAACCCAAACAAGTAAGAAAGTTCTCTTTTTTATTAAGTTTCGGATTACATGTATCATTTATTTCAAATGTGTTATTGTGTTTATTTGCAGCTCAGCACATTATAATTACTGTTATCATAATTATTATTAATTTCAACAAGTTGTAGGTACTTTAACACCCCCTCCCCCCGCATTCGCAACAGGGCTAAACCCCACCCCTTCCACAATGTTTTTTTTCTTGTGTCTGTGCCTGAGTCAGTTGCTCACTGTGTGTTTACTCAAAACGATGTAACTTATTATCTCACAGTGAAGATGTTCAATTTTTTAAGAGCAGTTCAGATTCAGCATGTTGGTATTTGCTTATTAAACGGAATTAAACATTAATTGTTAAATGTGTGTTAAAACGCAAAATTACGAAACAAAACTATATTTCTTATTATAATTTATTGCTTCAGAATCAACGAAGACACTCATTATTGATTGTGTGTTCATTCCAGTCACTCAAGAATGGGAACAGATAGATGACGTGAAAAGCAGAATTCCACATCTACAAGGGCATACGATGTTGCCTTACAAGGTTGGTTTAACTATGTTTCTTACAAACGGTTTAGGTTAGATTTGAAATTAGGAACCATTAAAAAGAAAGTAAAGGTTACAGTTTGAGGCCGAGAAGATCTTCTCAATTGCTGTAGTTATCTCATCCGTCTCGGTCTCTCTACACAGAACAGCTAGCTGCTTGACTAGATCGTCGCATAAAGCACAAACAAATTAGCTCTGGTGGCGATCCCAGCTCTCTCAAATAAGAATGCCAGGGGGATGGTACTGTGTCCCTCTGCAGTAAAACTTACCAATGCTTTGGTCAGTACGACAAAACTAGTACCAAAGGTCTGTCAATGCACCACAACACATTATGCAAAGACACCTTCTTAGACCAACTCTGCACCCAGTAACTACAGGTAGGGACCAATATTGGTTTTTGGAGACAGTGAGAATTAGTCTTTACGCACACCCAACAACCGTTATCTATCCTGTGCTAACCTCTCGATATGATGGTTCTATGATACGAGTTTCGTTCACACACTTCTGCCACAGGGTGGAGTGGCTGGCCACATGCCCACTCCTCCTTCTTTCTCATTTGTTTGGGACCGGAAATGGCGAAAATTGTTGCATAACGCTGCAACAGATCCTAGGCAACAGTTCTAATGTCTAATATCTTCCCCTAAATAAAAAAGTTTTCATAAAATCTACTAAGACAAATTGTGAAAGAACTATATATTTTGGCCCACATTCTGCCACCAGCATCAAGCATAGGCCCTTAATATAACTACTGAGTGGTAAAGCATCATTATAGAAGAGAGGTATTTTCGTAGACCTGCAGGTAACAAGTGGAGATCAAATTTTTAAAAATACATTAGAAGAAAGTTAGGATTGAGAATACAACTCAACATTTAAATATATATATATATATATATATATATATATATATATATATATATATATATATATATATATATTAATATCATATATTATATATATATATATATATATAAAGTGTTTGACCTATGACACAAATACAATAGTTCAATTATAAACATTATTCTCTATACGAATGCCAACTCAAAAACTTCAGACTGCAATCAAGCATCTAACCTTGACGAAAGTGACAGTCTTCAAAAGAGTTGCTGAATGATGTCTTACATCCAAAATATTGTTTTTGCAATGTTTCATTTCAGACCCAACTCCTGATTTTTGGAGGAACATTCAGTGACACAATAGAGGACACCCCTCTATGGATCTATAAGACGGGTATACATTTTTTTGCAAACTTATTGTCGGTGAATACAACTGTCTCTATTTAAGCTAGCATAATAAAAATAGTCACCACAATAGTAAATCTGTAAATTAAATTACCAATGGTCTTAATTGCTTGCAAATGTGAATTATGGATTACTGTGTATGAAAAAACAACTCAGGTGAAGAATTTTCAAAATAATTATTCCATCCGGACCCATAAATATTGACCCGTAAAATAAGTTAATGCATAGTATTTTTGGTTTAATGATTATTATCCAGCTAGATATAATGCTATTTTAACTTAACAAAATGTAACAAGGAAGCATTGATATTTTGGATGATACAATGATAAGGTAGATGGGCTGGGTGTTATACATGCAATGTTATTTAAACGGAGTGGAATTGTTCTTAATTAATTTGGACCGACTAATGACAACAGTTTTCATAATTTTATAGCATATTCTTCGCAGAATACTCTTCTTCTTCTTCTTCAGCATTCCGAGCCCCTGAGGTTCATTGTTTCAGATATCATCCGCCTCCATTCATCTCTCAGGTTGGCCCTCCTTTTTCATTTGGTGTCACAGAATATTGCCTTCAGCTTTTCCCCAGTTCCTTTACTTGTGCATATTATTGCCTAGTTGTCCTTAATTACCCGAATCTTCCATTACTTCTCTATCTGAGCTAGTGTGGTGTTTTTAATATGACTTTAGTATTTACATTTTCTTAACAGTATTATATTTGTGAGTCAGATATATCTTCATATAATTTCTCACTATATTAATTTAATTTTTCTAAGGTGTCTTTAATATTCGTTACAGCTTCATCATATCTATTGTTCTTGTATGTTACGATATTATGAATTTGCCTGTTTTGATTTCCTTGGACAATCTCTGTCTTTACCTTACCACTGGAGATGTCTCAGTGTAATACACATCACCTTCAGCTGAATCGAACTCGGTATGTCAGAATTATGCATTGTATTCATACTTTTAGGTAACAGACTCTTTTAGTTTACACTCTGTTAACAACATTGTTTTCCTTTTAGAGGCTTTAATTATGTTCTGAATTTACATTTAACAATTTAATAGTAATATTCATTGTATATTGTCGAAGAATTCTCTGAATAGATTTGCACCATGTGCACAAGTTCTGCTGTGAATCGTACAGAGCGTCCCCAGTTGGAAGGAGGGAACACTCCGCTGTTGTCTATAAGTCCAGCATGTACATCTATGGGGGATTCCTGGATAGTTCCGGCTCAACAGATGAATTCTGGGTGTTCAGTATTGGTAGGTCAATTACCCCACTTTTCTTCTCATTAGGGGGCTGCGTGGTCTCAGGGCATGGTGTCCACCTCGAGTGCTAGATGTTCCGGGTTCAATCCTTGGTAAGGGTTGGGATTTCTTCACGTGGACTTGGACTTCTAGTAATTCCTTCTGGTTTCTGGGTAAGGAGATCGGACGCCCATGTGCATTTTCGCGCATGTAAAAAAAAATCCCTTGGCAGTTGGAAATCGAAAAGAGTAGCCTAACGGCACTGCCCGGGCAAAATTTTGAGTTTAAAATCTACCCAAAGTATTCAGAATCCTCACAAGTGCTTCATAGCCTGTTCACTGTGCCGAGCTTCTTCGGACGGAGCACTTGTGTGTTGCAACCGTGTACCATGATGTTGTTCCGTTGTTCAAAACATCGAAACCTCTACTGATTGGGGTGCTCTTGTTAGACATGTCAACCTTACTCGCACAGGACTGCAAGTGACACCTGTCTGGTGCGGCTGTTACGGGTGCCCTAATTATAACTTCTTTCGAAGTTGAACAAGGTTTCTGTGCTTGCCCTGTTGGTCTACCACCAACACTGAGAATATTTAATTCTCATGGCATCAAACCTTCAGTTTCTGTGGGTCTGCCATCTAGATTAAGATCTTCTGATCTCAGGGTATCAAAAATGTCACATAGTAGCATAGAGGGGATAACCGTCACGTACACATGTAGCTCTTCTTCTTGTTCCTCTTCTCTTCTTATTCTTCTTCCTAATTTGTGACCCTTTGAAAAAACATTTTGTTCGATCGTTCGTTCGTTCGTTCGTTCTTCTTCTTCTTCTTCTTCTTCTTCTTCTTCTTCTTCTTCTTTCTTCTTCTTCTTCTTCTTCTTCTTCTTCTTCTTCTTCTTCTTCTTCTTCTTCTTCTTCTTCTTCTTCTTCTTCTTCTTCTTCTTCTTCTTCTTCTTCTTCTTCTTCTTCTTCTTCTTCTTCTTCTTCTTCTTCTTCTTCTTCTTCTTCTTCTTCTTCTTCTTCTTTTTCTTCTTCCTCTTCTTCTTCTTCCTCTTCTTTTTCTTCTTCTTCTTCTTTTTCTACTTCTTCTTCTTCTTCTTCCTCTTCTTCTTCTTCTTCTTTTTCTTCTTCTTCTTCTGCATTCCATTTTAAACTGGAGGTTGGCACCTTGGGTTGGGTTTATAACTAGGCCTACATGTCTGACTGCAGACCAACACATCAGATTTCAGTGTACCGTTAATTAGTAGGATGTTATATTTGTTGATGCATTGCCGACTATTGCCGATAGGTTTAAGGTGCTGCAGGCTAAGTCATACCTCAGAGAAGCTGCAGATAAAGAGTACCCTCTGTATAAGTTCTGGATGCAGTTAAGCGTCAGAGTTTGAAAAGGGGAAAATCATGGATGGCTCAAGAAGAAGACATAGTAAGATGCATGCATGCTGAAAAACAATGGGCGAGGAGAGGAGTGGGTCAGAGTACCAGAGGGAAAATCTGACTTATGTAGGGTTTTGATCACATTAGGCCAGTAGCGCAGGTGGAAGTCCAATAGTTGATTCACGACAATTCTCGTCCTGATGATCTGATTATCTACACAGATGGTTCTGTATTGAGAGGGAAGAGAAGTGCCTAAGGTTTCGTAGCGAAAGCCAATGGAAAATATTTTAGTGCAGGACAGCCTGGCATATGATACGACAACATCTAGCATGAGAATGGAGGTGGAGACGATCACTGCAGCTTGCCGGTGGCTAGAAAACAAGATACGCACACATCATAATTGTAACGGACTCTGAAAGCATGCTGAAAAATGTGAAGATAGGATTGCTTCGAGCAGAGTGGCAAGCTTCACTTGCAAGATCACAGGTAATGAGCATACTTTGTATCATTTCTTTAGGCAATGCCATCGTGGTGGGTAATGAACATGTAGACAGATTGGCTGGATCTGCACTGCTGGGTGTTGAATTGATACATGACAAGGCAGATGTGGTCAGAACCCGTTTGAACAAGTAACGAAGTCAGAAGAGAAACAGGATTATTATGGGCTGAAGAGAATGATGCACCTGGGTGTGACCAGCGCGTTCGGCCGGCACACTACGCTCAGAGGAAAGGAAAGATGGACATACAACCAAACTACAACTGGCACTATTAGTATTAGAACTTTGCGGTGGCTGCTGAAGATGGAGACGGAGCCCATGTGGGGATGATCATTCTCCTTAAAAGTCTTCTGGTTTTTATGTTATGAGACTTGGTTGTTGTGTGACCAGTCATTTTCTAGCTGTATGATGTATTCAACTTGCCACCATTTCTTCCCATAACATTCTCTGGTCCACATTTCTGGCTGATTTGGCTAAGGAGATAAGGTGCATTTTTTTTTTTTTTTAAATAAATCCACTTCCACTGGGGATTCAATCTTGTGATAACTGGGCCCCTATGCAAGCTTGCTAGCTACCTAACTACCTTTGAATACCATGTTAACATGTGAAGGCTCTGTGTGTCCTGCATTGCGGATGATTTAAGCTTCTTGATGCACACAAAACTCATTCATAAATCACTCAATCTTAATAATTCCAGTTACCCCACCAAAATGTGTCCTGCCAGGGACTAATCCTTACTGGAAACTTAACCAAATTACCCGATGTGAACGACAGTGGTTCCCTCCACAAAAAGCCTAGATGGACATGGAAAAGAAGCAGCCAATTTGACAGCAGAGCATTATTATTACACAGAATAGTTGAACGCAAGATATTCCGCAAAAATACCCAGTATAAATTTAAGAAACACCATCATAATGAAGGATAATCAGATAAAGATCGCAGTTATAACCTAAAGCTAGTCAAAGGCGATCAAAGCTTTTTTTTTCTTATCTCACACACACACACACACACATAAGCACACGCACGCGCGCAGGCGCAGGCACAGATGCAGGCAAACAAGCAGGCACAGAGGCAGGCACAGAGGCAGAGGCACTCACAGAGGCACGCACGCACGCACTCACACACAAATCACCAGCCATCCTTGATTTAATTCTTTTTTTTTTTTTAACAGAAGAGAATGAATGGAGGATGATCCGCAGACACAAGCCTGGTAAGAGACATGGTCATGTTGCTGCTGTAGCAGATGGCAAAATGTGGCTTCATGGAGGCATGCGAGGGTTAACAGCTTTATCTGATCTCTGGACATTTCATTTTGGTAATCACTTTCCTAATTTCTTTTTATTTTCATGTTTATTCTTCTTCTTTTGTCATCTTACAGATACTAGATTTTAGCCCAGCATTGTGGTTTTCTGTATTTGTTTTGCACTTCTCAGGTGGCTTGGGTGATAGATTTGTTCATCTTTTTTCAGGTTTCTGCTTCATCATTTATCCATGTCTTTCTTGATCTTCCTCTCGCCTAGCTCCCGGATGTTCTGCTGTTAAAATATATCATATGTAGTTTGGTATGGCTGCATTCTCACTAGATGCCTGAACCATTTCATTCTTTGTCCGTCAGTATAATCCTGACATCCTCTTATTCCGACTTTCTCTCTAATGCTGGTATTTGTTTCATGTTTAGTTACAAATCCTAAGCATTGGCGTTTATATTTTCACAGATCAATGAGTCTGTAATTTGTAGGTTTTTTCCCCCTAATTTGTGTGTGATATACAGCCATAAAAAATATGCACAAAACGTTTCTCAATAATATACACATAATGTTCCATTAACTGTTTTACACTGCTAAATTACAATTGTAACCAAAAATGCAGTTCCT